ATAAAGAGTCCCTCTTTCTCCATGAAGTCGGCCAGCTGGTGGCCCCTTGGGTTCCGTTGCCCTATTCCAAATTTCCCTACTTTCAGCTCACCGTTCTCTCTTGTGCCTAGTTTTGGATTGAAGTCTCCCATTAACACCGTATATTGGGTTTTGGAGGAATGCATGGCTCTAGAGATATCCTCATACATTTCCTCCACCTCCTCATCGGGGTGTGCCGATGTTGGTGCGTAAACCTGTATGACCTTCAGCGAATACCGTTTGGTGATTCTGAGTATAAGGTACGCAACCCCCTACGCAACCCTCGTCGACACACTCCCGATCTTTACAACGTTGTTAACGAGAGACTTGTGGACGATAAATCCGACACCTCCTTGGGACCGATGGTCGCCCTCCCGGTGATAGAGCAAGTTGCCGGATTCGAGGATTACCGTGTCCTCCCCCTCTCTTCCGACTTCGGATAATCTTATAATATGCCAGCGCAACTTGTCTATGTCTTCTTCCAGCTCCACAATCTTCTCGTCAGTCCTCAGGGTGCGTGCGTTGTACGTTGCCAGGTCGAGTCGTCTAAGGTGGCAACCGAACCTCCACCGGAGATTCTTAGCACCCCCTGCCCCGCCGTTACCATGGTCGCCACCGTAGCCAGGAATAGCGGGGCCGCCGGGGACTGGGGGCCGTTTCTTTGTTACTGTCATTCATAGGGAGGTATTTGCCATAGTTGCCACGCTTGGCGAGCGGGTTGGCAACCGCAGTTTTTTTATTGTTATCAAGAAGATGCTGCTGCCCATCTCCTGCCTGTTTCCCTTTGTCGCCTTTTACAACACCCACGGGAGGATATGGGGTAGTGGATATTCTTGACCGCCACTACACGGCTGATTTTGTATAAGAAAATAGAAATGAATACTAAAAAATGAAACCACGTACCACCAATTTGATCGATAAATCGCTCAGGACCTATAATATCGGCGCTCGCGAGGATATTGACCCTATTGTCAGCTTATGTTTTTTTAAGTTTCACGGCTGGTTTTTTGTTTAAGTATTTTCATGTTTTTTTTAATGAAATTATCGTTTCATTTAGCTGTACTAACATGATGGAGCGTGAATAAAGTTAATAAAACGTTGTGAAAACATGATTTTTTTTTCCTCGGCATCCAATTTATTTGTGACCCATGTTCTGAGGTGTAGTACCTACTATCATCTGTCTTCGTTTTCGGGAGCGTTTCACAAACACCCGGTATACATATATATACACAACATGTAACAAAAACCATGTGGTTCCCGTTAAGTATTCAAACCTATAGAAATAACTTTTTTTTTAAAAAACGATCATATATATCTTTTTAATTTTATTAAAAAAAATATTTCATTTTATGTGGTTTTATTACCTCTTACTGACACTAGCCGATGCTAAAGCTAAGTAAAGCGGGGTCTTTGACAATTCTCTTACTCCTCAGACAATGCAGAGGTAATAAAACCACATACAATATTTTTTAATAAAATAAAAAAATTGTTCGAGTTTTAAAAAAAAGTTATTTCTATACGTTTGAATAATGATCCTGATAACGTACTTAACTTGAACCACAGGGTTTTTGTTAAATATTGTGTATATATACACACACACATTATATATATAGGTAAGGACAAAAGGATATAAATAGAAAAGAATTTCTTGTAATTAAAGCTTTATACATGGTACAAAAATATTTATATTTTATTCTTAGTCCTTTTGAGGTTATTGCCTCTTTTGTTCACAAAACCGAACCGCTGTTGTCCAAAAACCAAACTATGGTCGATAGTTCGGTTTTTAGACAACAGCGGGGTCGAGGATGGCACTTGACACAGTTGAACCCAAACCTTCGACCGACTCTATTAATCCTACTTTATCCAAATTCTTAAATGGGTACGAAAATAAAGAATTACAAAAATAACTGAACATAACGTTTATTAATTTAAAATAACATAATTTAAACTATACTACATAAAATAATATCGTAACTAAAATACTACTCATATAAATAAACAATAATTTGTGCCAGGAACTGCATTGGGTATACATTTGTGTAATAAGTAATAATATTAAGCGAATACATTAAAAACATTTAAGCGCCCGATATACTTATAAGTTGAACATAAATAAGAAACAATTGAGAAAATAATGGTAAAGGTAACAATTTTTTTTGATAAATCGATTTTATTTCTTTGATCTTTCATATTAACCGCTTAGTACCATTCTATAATATAATTATTTATCTCTCTGTTATTCCAATAAAACATATTTATTAATTTTTGTTGCAGTACATAATTAAGTCATGATCATAAACGCTACAAACTTCTTTGGCACACAAAATATAAATCACAAATAAAATGCAATAAACCTTTTAAATATAAAACTGTAGCCCACTTCTTAAATAGTACGTAATACATAGTAAATATAATTTTACAATATACATATTCGTTGTTCAGGTTATACTAGAATCCGATAGGTGGCGCTTATAGTTCAGTTTAATATACTTTAAAAAGTCTATGTTTATGGACAAAAATGACTCGTATTCACAATATATTATTAATATTTGGTTTTGTGTCAAGTAAATATAACATCATCTGGACCCGCAAATTTTATGTTTACACTGTAAAAAGTCGAAAGTGAATACGAAGTTAAATCCATCGTGCCACCTACCGGAACACAGGACATAACAACATCTGCTAAGCCAGATAATTTTGCGTAAAATATGTCGATATTTATGTGAAATTTAATTTAACAACAAAAATAACGAGTGTTGATTATACCGTTCTTCGGTTCTATTTGTGCCATTAGCCTGGAATATTTCACAGCTTTATCGGACGACTTCTAACTGCTACCCTAATCCCATTTAAGAAACGACTGTTCATCGTTAAGCACCGCTATATTATGTAGAAAATATAAATGTTCTTCTAATTTAATACGGCTTAAATCGAAACATGCAGTAGTGTAAAAATAGTCTATTTTGGGCTAACTTTCCAGAAACAAAGCAATTGTAGTCGTGGGTGAATTTTATTGTAATGCAACCCACTGACTTTATAATACAACCGACTTTCAGTTGTATGGTGCAATATTCACGAGTCCCATGTAAATAGACGAAAGTTCAAGTAATGTAACATGTCGCTTTGTCTGTCAGTCACATTTTAGGCTACTCAAACTCATATGACTATTATGACCTTCACCGCTAATACTAAATAAACTAATTAAACAACAGATTTGTCCCCAATTAAATTATAAAGAATAACACAGTTTTTCCATATTCCAAAATATCGCAAACCGAAAAAATTCTATACAACATAACATTCTATACAAAATATAAATATATTTATGTTACAATTGCGGTTAAGCTTGCTTCCAAATTATTATAGCAGTGCAGCTACAGATTTAAAGAGGCGTTTCGTGCGTCGCCCGGAGCGTCAGTGTCAAGGAGGCGTCAGCGTCACAAGCAAAATTATTTGTAATTTCCCAAAGTTTACGGGTAATATATTTACGGGAGCAATGAATTGTTTGACGTCTTGATATCAGGTTACAACTTAAGGCTACATCAGACAACACCATAAATAGCTTTAAATTATTAAAATGGGATTGTCATCAAGCACTGGGCTCTTATATAATGTGTTTCAAGACATACCTGATGGCAGTTTTAGATGGTCAATAGCGGACTTTAAAAGGTTTAAGACGATGAACATTATCTTTAACAATATGCAAGGCAAACATGGCAAATGCTCTGTCCCGGCGAGAATGTTCCACTGGAAATTAACCAACAAAAACAGTGGGATATTCCGTTGGTACTGTGTGCAGAAAAATTTGTTTCATAATTTTCATAGTGACCAAGAACAGGGACGCCTTCTAGCTGTTTCGACTAAGGAATCTAGTCACTGGTTACACGCTTTACCATCAAGTAATCTCGGCACAATACTTGATGGGGAAAGCTTGCGCACCGCCGTAGAGATCCGACTATCGGTCTGTGGGGTCTACGTACAGTAAAGTTCCTAAAGGAACTCTATCCGCAACTGATCAATATTGCTGGTGATAAGAGCACTGGTTCTTTTCTCGCTCAAAGGCTAAGTATAGCCATTCAGCGGGGAAACGCAGCCAGCGTTCTTGGCACGATACCACGGGGAGTGGGAGGGACTGTATGATAATTAAGCTAATAGTTTTAGTTTTTTTTATTATAGTATTTTAATATTGTATATATTAATAAATTAAGTTGTCATTTTGTCGGTTTACATTTTATATTTATATGAATATATATTTATCATTTCAATTCTGTATCACATCACATTAGTATATTCAATATTATTTAATTGAAGATAAACTATTTATGTGTTTTAAAGTTAAACATTCTTTATTTTATGCATTGTAAATTGAAAAATATTCGTAGTTGAATACCATAATAAAAACATAATATATAAAATGTGGATATGAATGCTTAAATTCATATTCGTATAATTATTACGTAATACGTTTATCAATTTTGTCAAATTTATCAACAATCGTGTGACGAATTCGATTTAGCAAACTTGTAACATCCGATATGTTATAATTCACAAGTTATGAACCCATGCGTACAATAAATTAGATTTCGACCATAATTTTATATTAGTTTCTGTCAATTATAAATAAAATATTTTTGTGAATATTCATCTGCAAAATATCAAGATATTAAAAATACCTCGAAAATCGTTCTCCTTTGGTTTTGAACAAGGTGTATTAAATCTAGTTTTGACATGTACTGATCCATTGGTAAATGCACCGTATCTTTTATTTTTAAATTCACAAAGATAAACCCAATTTTTTTTTTATTACAAGCTTTACACCTTTTTATTAATAATATGATTCAAACTAACTTTATGTCCGTCAACATTAGAATTTGAAAACACAACCGCAATATGGCTTAAATTTTCTTCATCATAATACAAACAACTGTTCACCTTTCTACCAGTGTCCTTTCTTTATAGTTGCTAATAAATACAAATTCTAACTACATAATTGAACATTGGCTGGGATCCTGTCCAGCTGGTGGTGCAAAGCCCTGCGGTGGGGATCCAATGTCACCCACCAGCTCTGTTGGGGGCTGACCAAGGTCTTGCATCTAAAAATAAATAGTTATTGATATAAGTATAAACAAGTTAGTACTAAAAAATCTATCAACATTTATCATCACAGCCTATCAGAAGTCCAATGCTAAATATAATAATAATAATTTATTATTTCAAGTAAACAATATCTTAATTTCTAGGATACAAACACTGCGTCTGAACTATCTGTGTTTCAGACAGCAGCGCTCTTCCCCTTAAGATTATACATTACACTGTATACAAAACAGATCACTTATTAATAAGTACTTTAAAGTTGTAGAGTGTAGTTAAGCCTCCTTGTGTGTAGTATACGATTGAGTATAAGATTTAACGAGGTACATTAAGTAATTGTTAGGTTTCGTTATAGTTCAGTTTATGAATATATTCAAATAGTTTCCTTTTTTTTTTATAGGAGAGGGGGCAAACGAGCATGCGGCTCACCTGATGGTAAGTGACTACCGCCGCCCATGAACAACTGCAACACCAGGGGAATCGCAGATGCATTGCCGGCCTTTTAAAAAGGAGTACGCTCTTTTCTTGAAGGTCCCTAAGTCGTATCGGTCCGGAAAAATCGCTGATGGTAATCGATTCCACAAGGAGGTCGTGCGAGGAAGAAAACATCTTCTAAATCGCACAGTGGTGGACCGCCAATCATCCAGATGGTGTGGATGGTATCGGGAGTTCTGCCGCGATGTGCGTTCGTGAAATTTGGCGGCTGGGATTAATCCGAACAATTCCTCAGAGCACTCCCCATGGTAGATGCGAAAGAAAATGCAAAGGGATGCAACATCTCTTCGCAGTGCCAATGAATCGAGCCGATCGGAAAGGGCTCGGTCGTCGACAATTCGAGCCGCTCTGCGTTGGATGCGGTCAAGTGGAAGGAGCTGGCACTGGGGAGCCCCTGCCCAGAGATGGGAACAGTATTCCATGTGAGGCCGAACTTGCGCCTTGTAAAGTAGCAGGCGGTGTGCCGGCATGAAATACTGTCCCGCTCTGCTGAGCACGCCAAGCTTTTTAGAGGCCAATTTGGCCTTCCCTTCCAAGTGACCACGAAACTGCACGTCACTCGATATGTCGACTCCGAGGATACCGATACTGGCTGAGGCAAGAAGGGGAGTGCCTTGAAACTGAGGAGATACGACAAAGGGGTTCTTTTTAGCGGTAAACGCGCAAACTTGTGTCTTTTGAGGATTAAATTGGACTAGATTTAGTCGCCCCCAATCCGAGACTTTGTTCAGCAAAGACTCGACTTCAGACACAAGTTTGTTCCGGTACTCAGCGACGTTTTCCCAAGAAATATTGGCACGGCCGGTGTATAGAGCATCACCAGTGCTGTCATCCGCATAGCAATGAATGTTACCAGTTAGCAACATATCATTGATATGCAGAAGAAACAGCGTTGGTGATAGCACACAGCCTTGTGGAACACCAGCGTTAATAGGCTTGTAGTCAGAGCATGCACCGTCTACAACGACCTTGATGCTCCGATCTACAAGGAAGCTGGTGATCCAATTGCACAATTTCTCGGGAAGCCCATAGGAAGGGAGCTTCGAAAGAAGCGCTTTGTGCCAAACCCGATCGAAGGCCTTCGCAATGTCCAGACTAACGGCCAACGCCTCCCCCTTGGACTCTACTGCCTCCGCCCATCTATGGGTCAGGTAGACCAGAAGATCACCAGCTGATCAACCCCGACGAAAACCGTATTGGCGGTCACTAATCAGCTGGTGATCCTCAAGGTACCGGATGACCTGGCAGTTAATAATGGATTCCATTATTTTGGAGAACAAGGAGGTGATCGCGATAGGCCTATAGTTGGATGGGTCTGAGCGGTCGCCTTTTTTAGGGATCGGGTGGACAAAAGCTGTCTTCCATGAATTCGGGACTACGCCTTGAGAGTAGGAGTACCGGAAAAGACGCGTTAGGACCGGTGCCAACTCCGGAGCACACGTCCTCAGCACAATTGGGGGGATTCCGTCAGGCCCACTCGACTTCTGGATGTCCAGGGAGAGCAGTGCTTTGCGAACCGAGCGCTGTGAGAACAGCACATCCGGCATGGAGCACTCACACCGCGGGATGGTCGGCGGTGTTTTCCCCCCGTCATCAAGAGTCGAGTTGGACGCAAAAAGGGAGCCTAAAAGGTCGGCTTTGTCTTTTGCGTCATGGGCCAGTGAGTCATCCTCCCTGTGCAGATATAGTAGTGATGGCTTACAGAAATTCCCTTGGACAGCCTTGGCGAGAGACCAGAATGCACGGGTTCCCGAAGGAAGGCGAACTAGTTTCTCGCCAATTCTGCCTATGTGCTCTGACTTTGCCTTGGCAATAACTCTTTTGAAGGACCTGGAGGCGAAGTTATACTTCTTTTTAAGTGTGCTGGTATTTACATCCCGAGTCGCCGAAGCCGCAGCCCAGGCTTGATAACACTCCTGCTTACTGCGTAATGCAGTCTTACAGGAGCGACCAAACCAAGGCTGAGATCTGCCTCCGATGGGTACCACAGATGATGGAATAAATAGTTCCATTCCCTGTAGCACCACATCAGTGACAGAGTCAGCAACAGCGCTAGGATCATCCGGCGAGAAGCAAACCCGCCCCCATGGGTAGGATGCAAAGAAGGACCGCATTCCGTCCCAATCCGCCGACCTGTAATGCCAAACACGGCGGCAACCTGCAGAACGCAACCGCGAAGGGAAGCGTGAGTGGCACCACACTCCGGATCAGACAATGGTCCGAAGAGCCGAGAGGGGCATCGACGGAAACCAGATATCCGTCCGGATGAGAGGTCAGCAGAAGGTCCAACAGGGAAGGTGTATGATCCTCCACATCTGGAATCCGCGTAGGCGAAGTAACCAGTTGTGTCAGACCATATGCCAAGGCAAAGTCATAAACAGATCTCCCCTCATGATCGGTTAGACGTGAACCGAGCCATTCGGCATGGTGGGCGTTAAAATCGCCAAGGATCACGATCTCTGCGGATGGGACCTGTTGTAGCAAGAAATCTGTAGCCATTTGGACGTGGTCGATGAGTCGGTCTGTTTCGGCATTACCGCTATGGGACCTATAGAGGCACCCGTAGACGCGCGGATGGTCGTCGCTGTCTACGCGTAGCCAAAGGATGGACAGGTCCGAACCTTCAAGACTGCCGAGGCGTCGAGAACAGATGTCCTCTCTGACATACACGCAAACTCCAGCCCGAGGCACAAAGGAATGCTCCAATTTGTACCCCGGGTAGGAGAGATACGAAATATCAGCCGGAGAGGAAACCTGCGTCTCGGTCAGAAAGAGCAAGGCCGGCTTCGCCGTCTCGAAATGGTAGTGGACGGCGTTTAGGTTAGAGTGAAGTCCCCTGATGTTGCAGAAATTCACGGATAGCGTGGCAGGGGTCGCCTTGGTGTTCTTGCTCAGTTTGCCCCTAGCAGTAATGCTTTTGAGCGGAATTTTGCCCCCCCCCCCCCCCCCCCCAGAATACGCGGGGCAGCCTGAGCACCCACGCTCAGGATCGGAATAACATGGTCGTGGATGCTCAGCGAGGGATTCTCCAGGGGTGCTGGTACCCTCCTGGGGTAGTTCTTCGTGTAATTCCGCTACCATGTTGATGGGGGGGGGGGGGGGGGGAATTGGGCCTCCGGCCACCTGCACTCACCAGACGAAACGCAGAAGCAAAGCTTCTACTTCACGCCGGTATTTTGTGAGGTCGTGGTACCAACCCGGCTCGAGCCGGCCCATACATGCAACAGCAAAAACTGCTGCGTGGCTCTACCACCGTTACTCTCTAATATTTAACCTTCGTATGTCCACAATTTTGCTGATTTTTACAATATAGATATGGACCCTGATATGGACAAAAACTCTCCGATCACACTCTTAATCTCATGGCTGTTAGACGGGAGATGAAGCTACATTCTTCAACAGACTTGACAGCATACAGGCATCTGAACAGACAGATCTCCAAATGCATGCGGCGGGACTTACGCAACTTCAATACAGCTCGTATTGAAGAAGCGATCGAGCGGAACCAAGGCTCCAAAGTCTTTGCCAGAGATCTGTCTGCCAGAAAGAGCCACCTGTCAAAGCTGAAGACAGAATGTGGCAGCATCGTTTCCGGGACACCTGAGATTTTGAGTGAGATTGAGAGGTTCTATGGGCAGCTGTACACGTCATCGTTGGAGCCACACGCAAGTGTGAGTAACGATCCAAGAGCGAGTCTCATCCGACACTATTCCGAAGATATCCCGGACGTCAGTCTGAGCGAGATTAGAATGGCTCTCCAGCACCTTAAAAACGGTAAGGCCCCAGGCGAGGATGGAATTACAGCGGAGCTTCTGAAAGCGGGTGGAAGACCGGTACTTGAAGTCCTTCAGAAGCTCTTTAATTCCGTCCTCCATGGTGGCATTACACCGGAGGCGTGGATCAGAAGTGCGGTGGTCTTGTTCTTCAAGAAAGGTGACAACGCTCTCTTGAAGAACTAGAGACCGATTGCCCTTCTGAGCCGCGTCTACGTGCTGTTTTCGAGAGTCATTACGAATCGTCTCGCGCGCAGACTTAACGACTTCCAGCCTCCCGAACAAGCCGGTTTCCGAAAGGGCTTTAGCACCATAGACCACATACATACCCTTCGGCAAATTGTACAGAAGTCCGAAGAGTACAATTTGCCACTATGTCTGGCGTATGTGGATTATGAGAAAGCCTTTGATTCCGTCGAAATTTGGGCGGTGCTGCAGTCCCTTCAGCGGTGCCAAGTTGACTGTCGGTATATCGAAGTGTTGAAGTGCTTGTACAGTAGGGCTACGATGGCTATCCGAGTACTGAATCAGAGTACGAAACCTATCCAATTGCAGAGAGGTGTAAGACAGGGTGACGTCATATCCCCGAAACTCTTCACCGCTGCATTGGAAGACGTTTTCAAGCTTCTGGACTGGAAAGGATACGGTATCAACATCAATGGCGAGTACATCACTCACCTTCGATTTGCCGACGATATAGTCCTTATGGCAGAATCGCTGGAGGACCTAAGCACTATGCTCAATGACCTCGATAGTGTTTCCCAACGGATAGGTCTTAAGATGAACATGGACAAAACAAAGATCATGTTCAATGTCCATGTCACACCTATGCCGGTAGTTGTTGGGAGCACTAAGCTCGAAGTTGTTGACGAGTATGTTTACCTGGGACAAATAGTCCGACTAGGTAAGTCCAACTTCGATCGAGAGGTCAATCGACGGATTCAACTCGGCTGGGCAGCGTTCGGGAAGCTACGACACATCTTCTCGTCAGACATACCTCAAAACCTGAAAACGAAATTGTACAACCAGTGCGTGTTGCCAGTGATGACTTATGGAACTGAGACGTGGTCCTTCACTGCTGGCCGTATGAGGAAGCTCAAGGTCGCTCAGCGAGCTATGGAGAGGGCTATGCTCGGAGTTTCTCTGCGTGATAAACTTAGGAATGAGGATATCCGCAGTAGAACCAGAGTAACCGACATAGCCCAACGGATTAGTAAGCTGAAGTGGCAGTGGGCCGGCCATATAGGTCGAAGAACCGACAACCGATGGGGAAGAAAGGTTCTCGAGTGGCAGCCTCGTACCGGTAGGCGAAGTGTAGGGCGTCCCCCCACGAGATGGAGTGACGACCTGGTAAGACATGCAGGAAGTCGATGGATGCAGGTGGCTCAGGACCGTGCTTTGTGGCATTCTTTGGGGGAGGCCTATGTTCAGCAGTGGACTTGTGAAGGGCTGTAATGATGATGATGATGATGATGATGATGATGATATGGACCCAAAAAGGGAAAATATTTATGTGCGAATTGGTGTGTGGAAAGTTATATCTTTGCGGCGCTTGGAAATGGCAATTGTATCAGAGCTTGAGTGTTGTTTCATAATAGTGAGCAGGATGAACAGTTGGCGAACTGAGAGGACTTCACAAGATTGATACAGGAGGTACGTAGGAAACAAATAGGGGCGAAAAGTGCTTACTTTAAGCATAGCTCTTTGAGCTATTTCAAGTGGTTTAATAGTAGTTTTTAGTGCACCTCCCCATACAGTAAGGCCATAACCCACTATAGATTGTTCAAGAACCAGGTAGATTTGTTTAACTAATTTAGGATCTGCCACATTCCTTATATTTTTAAAAACGTATATCAGATTTCTTAACCTCGTAGTAATTAAATTAAAATGAGGTTGGAATGAAAGATTTTTATCTATAACAATACCAATATATTTAAAAATATATTATATATAATACAAGATATTTAAATATAGATCAACCCTATAGGTTGCCACGCTTGGTAGGCGGGATGGCAACTACAGTTTTTTTTAGTTGTTATTAGACAGACATTTTTTTATATAGGATACGGTGACGAACGAGCACACAGTCCACCTACGTAAGTGGTTGCTGTGGCCCATAGACATTTACACCTATCCTCGTTTGCGAATCAAAATGCAGATGCATTGTCACCCGTGAGGACTAAGATGGAATGCCCCTTTTCCAGTAAAAAGGGTCTCCGGTTCTCTGCACTCACCATACGAAACACAGCAGCGTTACACTACTGTTTATGCCCAAATTTGGTAATTTTTGAACGCCATTCAATTGCGTTCGAGTTGGCGCGTCACCCGATGGTATGTAGGTGAAAAAAACGCCGCCAGGTGGGGCGGCCGTGTGCAGCTTGCAGTGCTCGACGCGTGGGCGAAGAGAAGAGTAGCTCGTTGGCCGCGATGAGGGGAACCCGCGTATCTCGATTATCGCGGCCGAAGTTCACGCGACCGTGTAGGGTTCAGATAGTTATATTTAGGCGTGTTACTTCGCTACGTGGATATGTGAATTTTGCAATATTTAACTTGTTCGGGTGATGCGGAATTGTGCACGCGCGCGTCGAGTAGATATACGGTCTAGGATTCGAACCGCGCATTCCTTGGTCGAGAGCGTCTCCCGGTCGATTGTTTGGAAATCATTATAATTGTGCCGTCGCGTTAAGTGCCCTTTTTTGTGTGTTGGTTGCTTTGTTAATTTACGTGTCAACGAGGCGTATTTTGAATTCTTTTTGCGACGTGGTGTTTTGGTGTCGAATGAAGGAACTTAGTTGTGTTTAATGCTGAACCGTATGACTCATTAAGAGATCGCGTTAGTTCCCTATTTATAATTTTGTGATAAGTGAATCCGGGACATTGAATGTCGAATTTTTAACTACTGTCCTTACTGTGTCGGGTATCACGTGTTCGATTCTACGATGAATGTGAAATTAGGCGAGTTTAAGTTAGTTAAATGTACAATGAAGCTAATAGACTGAAATAGTGACAATGAAGAAAGAAATGGTCCAGCGGTGGAGCCTGCAGGAGCGATGCAGCATTGTGGGGCAGCCTGGAACTCGGCCGCTGCTGGTCGCCTAAGCTGGTCCAGGTCTCAGACATTTACACATCACTAAAAACTACTTGCCATGCACCTCACACCCACTTACGGCCTGACCGAGCCTTGGGGCGATCTAAGAGTCGCAAACAGGTACGTACTATACTTCCCTAGCCTTCTCCCATATAGCTTAGTATTATAGGAAATTCTTCCATATGGCATTTTGAGCCCCGTCCCTCTGCGGCCCGTCGATGGGATTACTCATGGGCCCTAGTCCCGTCAACCTTTGTTGGGGCAGCTAGGGGCGTGTACAACTACTATTTACTACGTGATCCTTCTCCGATCGAGCCGACTCATTCGTGCTACAACTATACTACTAATATAGCTGCAGCATGGCTTTACCACGTGCATAGACATTGCTGCCTATTTCCTGGTTTGTTTCCTTCTGTCGCCTCTTTATACACCCACTGGACGATATGGGGTAGTGGACATTCTTACACTGCCACTACATGGTTGTCCCCACACGCAATTATACATTTCTTATTCATTTTCCATAAAAACTGGGAAATGAGAAAAATATGTTTTTTTTTTATAGTAGTAGTAGATACTGTGGCCTATAGATATCTACATTTATCCTAGATTAAGAAAGCATATGCGTTGCCGTCCCCGTGGACTAACATTCAATGCCTCCAATAAAAAAGATCTCCAGTTCTTCTACACTCACCATACGAAACACAGCAGCATTAAGCTGCTAAATTACGCTGTATTCTGTGAGAGCGTGGTTCTTCCCCGATTCAGTCCATTCGTACTACAACTATAAAATAGCTGCAGCATGGCTCTACCACGTATAATATTATTATATAATATGTAATGTAATGTTTGGCAGCAGCGTTTTCCTAATTATCACTAAAAATAAAAATAAACTTCGGTTGCCAATTAGCTTGCAAAGCGTGGTAACTATGGCAAATATTCTTCCTATGGGGCAATCTAAGGGGAGGCCTGTGTTCAGCAGTGGACTTTCATAGGCTGTAACGGTAACGGTATAGATCAATCAATCCGACACGCTGACTTCCCATTTCCTTGAAATATTTACTCCTTACACATTGTTTTCTTACGATTCTTTTCACCAGCCAGCACGTGATAATCAGCACTTAATTTTTTTTTTAATTGACGACTCCGTGGCGCAGTGGCATAGCAATGAGTTGCAGCGTTAAGGGCCGCGGGTTCGAATAGGGAACAAGTATTTGTATACCCTACAAATAATTGTTTCGGGTCTGGATGTTTGTCCTTGTGAAATTTATGTATGTAAACTGCCACCACGATACAAGAGAAATGCCTAGTGTGGAGTAAACGTAAAAAAAATATATATAATTCACCTGCTGCATAAGATTGAGGACAATTTCAAAACGCTTTCTCTTGACATCCTCTGGGTCAGACTCTTGTTCTGGTTCCAACTCCGCACATACCTCTTCCATAAGCTTTTGTTGCTTTTCAAATCTAAACACAAAAATGGATAGTTGGATCATTTAAAGAAATACTATGCTGTCCTCTTATACTATCGCTTAGTGGAGATCCGTATTGATTGTAGTAATCCGTAAGATATCATTATCTGCTTTAGACATATGAGAGACCTTATGAGTTTTAATTAAATTTCATTTCAACAGTGCGTATATACAATAAAAATATTATTATTTCGAATTGTTCTCCACTTCAAAGTTACATCGACCGTCCAATCACGAACTGTGAGAAACGGATTCTCTCAAAGGCCGTAGTGTACATATATTATGGCATAAGGCACACATTATAATATTATATACGAGTATCATCATTAATGAAATGTATAACAATTAGTTAAGTCATATGATGCACAGGTCCTATTAAGATATAATCCCACAGGCGCCATGCCTTTTTCATTACTAAAACGGTTTTAAAGTAGGTAGAATTCGTCGAGCTTTTTTTTATAGGATTAGGGTGATAAACGAGCACCTGATGGTAAGTGGTTGCTGTGGCCCATAGACGTCTACATCTATTCTCGATTACGAATCAAAATGCAGATGCGTTGTCACCCGTTAGGACTAAGTCTCGTGTCCACTCACCACACGAAATACAGCAACATTCAGTTGCTATTTTACGCTGGTATTCTGTGAGCTTCCTTCCGTATAAAGTTAAAAAAAATATTGGTAAATCCAATTGTGCATGCCTTAAGCGCATTAAAGAAATTACGTATAACATGATTATACGTAAAATTTTAAAGTAGTTTAATTACACACAAGTTTTCACTAAAAAATCTTATAATTATATATTTCCGATAATTTTGTCAAATTTCAATTAAAAAAAAAAACGCTTGGAAAATCCAAACTTGCACGACTCGTAAGATAGTGAAAAAACAAAAAAATTGTAAATTGTAATCCTATTCGTCAAAGAGTTCCAGGAGCAGTCACCGAAGTACACCTTCAGGTCACTCTATCAAGTCCGGAGGTAAGGTCTCATCATAACTAACAAAACGAAGCCAAACTCGGCACACCTAGTTTTACTCTTCGAGGAGTTCCAATAGCATTCACCGATACAAAATCCACTCATGATGGCAGCCGAGACCGAAGTGCGAGTGAACTGTGAGTCAGTGTATTTCGTAAAATAAATTATTGCCGCTCAAAACACCGAAAATTTCGGTATTTCTCAACCGAAAAAAATAATTAAACTGCCATTTACATTCCATGGCTTCCCACATTATAGATGAAGAGATTAAAAAATAGATTGAGTTCAACTAATATTTTCAAAAGTTATAGTGTTTACCACTTTTTTAATGTAAAAATAGCAATTAATCAATTTAAAAAAAAATTTAAAAGTTCAACAATCATTTATCTTCTTGACAATGTGCTTTTTATATCATTTATATGTTCATTATGATTGTTAGATACGATTTCATGCAACAAAAGGTTGGAATCTTGATTTTTAAACACTAGTAGGACATACCGACGCGCATTGCGCTTAAGGCATGCAAAAGAAAATTTTCATCGTCATAATTTCCCTTTTTTCACAGAATAAGGGTGATAAATGACCACACAGTCCACCTTATGGTAAGTGGATACTGTGCCGCGTAGACAACTACATTTATCCTCAAGAATCAAAATGTAAGTGCATTATCAGCCCCAGGAATGTGATAGTATGACTCTTTACCAGTAAAAATACTCATTGGTTCTTTACACTCATCATAAGAAATACAGTAGTAATAAGCCGCTATTTTACGCTTATATTCTATGAGAGCCTGGACCTTCTCCAGTCAACTCATTTGTGCTGCAACTACAATATAGCTGCTGCGGGGCCCTAACACGTATATATCCACGTATATGTGTACTCGTTAACAACCGTCGAGCATGTGATAATTGAGCGCTAAAATTCGATTTAACGATTCCACGGAGAAATTTAAAATTAGCGCGATGCCCCTGTGCTTCCAGACACTTAGCTTAAAGTAATAATGCCAGTTACTCTGGGCACAGGTATCCATTAATTTCTGAGGATTATGAAGCAATTAGTTCACCGCGCTGCTGTTCAATGCGTGTTGGCGGACTTCAAAATGTCCTGGATTTTTTTTTATTTTACAGACATGCAAGCATTTTTACGAGGTTAGCTAAAGCCTTTACCGCTGAGCACGTGATAAATCAGTCCTTTAAATTGCATAAAACAATTTAATTGGTGCCGGCGGGGATCGAACCAGGGTAGTTACGGCTTACCTTGAAAGTGCGGCGAGCGCTTAGCCCCTAAACTACCATGAATCTTTTTAATCTAATACAAATACTGTCTATCTAGTAATTTAATATTTCATGACCCTCTTCTACCTTCTTCTTAAACAGTGCAAAAATTATTATTTTACAAGCGGAAAAAAAATGTGGAATAAAATTTATTACCTTTCATATTCACTTTGTTCAATCTTGCCTTTATTCTCAGCCAGCCATGTTGGGTACCTATCAACAAGGTCCTTGAGTGACGGGTACAGAACCTCCTTGGACAGTAACGATTGCATCATACCTTGCATAAATGGTACAAACATATTGCTATCCTGAAATTAATATAAATAAATATATATTTCTATTACTAATAACGTTTGAATTTGGGCCTATGATTTAAAATGATGGCGGTGTACGATTTCAGCAAATAAAAATGTTTTAGTATGTTAATTAACCGAAATTAATTTAAGTTATTTGCTATGTAAATAAATTTAGAGAAAAAAACTTTTATATAATTAAAATAAAACAATCAATTGTTATTTACCTGTCCACCTTCTCCCATGTTGAAGTTCGCAAACATATTTGCTAAGTCATTTTCAGAAAATGGTGTCTGAAGATTTTCTGTGTCTGTATTTAAATTCTGCAGAGTTCGAGTTATTGCTTCTGATACCTGGAAATTTATACAATCTATATAAATAAATAAAATTGAAGTGTCTCTTTGTAATTTCAAAATAACAGCTTTTTTACTAAATGCATATGAAAGTAAATACGGTACTTATAACTAAAATACACTTTTTAAAATTTTTGTCTGTCTTGACTGTCTGTCCGTCTATCTGTCTGTCTGTTTGTTCCGGCTAATCTCCGAAACGGCTGGACTGATTTTGACGGGACTTTCACTGGCAGATAGCCGATGTCATAAGGAGTAACTTAGGCTAATTTTATTTTAGAAAAAGAATTAGGGTTCCCCGCAAAAAAATAAAAACCCTAACACGCGAACAATGTCGCGGGGACCAGCTAGTATTTTACATTAAAAAAATTTTTTTTTTAAATAACTGAAGTGACAAACGAACTTAAGAGTCCACCTGTTGCGGTAAGTGATTACTGCAGTCCATGCCCACCTGCAGCCAATGGAAAACGAATGAGGCTACAGATGCGTTGTCATCTCTTAGGACTGAGATGGAATTCCTCACAAGCTGTAATCGTACAGGCTCTGTCTCCATTAGAGAAGCAGTTGCTACTTGCACTGGTAATGCAGCGCCCCTTCAAGCACTTCGACATTTGTGTTAAGGGTTTACGGATGGATATTCCGCCATAATTCATTAGCCATTATCGTACCATTATTAGATCCTGTTGTGTTTCACTGCGGAGCTAAGATTTCCCTAAACTTTTTCCACTCCCTACAGTATAAAGCGTTTTTGACTCCGTCGGTCTGTACAAACGTATTATCCCATGTTTACCTTATTATTATATCATATTATTACCCAGTGTAATCCAGCTCCAAAAAAAATCCAGGTTTAAACACAGATGGCTGAATGCTGGAGATATCCTGATAACGGCTCAAAAATAATAAAAATTCGCGGTTGCCAACCTACCTGCTAGGCATGGCAAGCGTGGTAAAATTAGGATGAAGGAGGCTTATATTCAGCCGTGGAATTTTGATAAGCTATACCTATGTAATGATGTTTTAAAATATTGTTTTGTTGGCGGCTCAGTAGAGCTGTGTCTAATTGTTTTGGCGTGCTTCGGGTATACAAAATTCCCTTAATCCTAAAAGGCGTCTACGACACAAATTCCTAGTATATCACTAGAGGGGTAATTATGTCCCGATGTTTTTTGGTGTTGCCGTAAAATTGTAGGGATTGTATTTTTTTTTTTATTAGAAATATTGAGCCATGGTAGTTCAGGAGATTTAAATTTCAAAGGACGTGAGTAAACGGAATTCGGGGTCACCGAGTTCGATCACCGGTACCAATGAAATTGTTAATTGCAATTTTAAGTGCTGATTTACTACATACTAGAAACTTCGTGAGAAAACCTATATGTCAGAAAACTAATTGTAACGGGAGGAGGGTTCTGCTCCATAGCATCTCAGAAATGTGAGGTCTGTGCCTAGAAGTCAGACTGTAAGTTTTCTAGAGTGCCACATTCGCCTGGTAAGTGCTGGTAACCGAAAACCCAAACTCCCTGCTCCAATAAAATGGTAGCAGAATTAGTTTCCTTCCTCGCACAACTTTTTTGTGGTATCGCCAACCACCGGTGTTTTTCTGGACCAAGTTAGAGACCTTTAAAAACGAGTTTAGATCTTTTTAAAAGTACAGTTTGGGTAAAATATCGGTATATATCGTTATATAATAGCGATATATTGATATTTATTATAGAGTATCGAATTCGTATCAATTTCGGTATATTTTAAAGTGTTGTATTAATCGACAAAATATTAAGCAGCTACAAAAGCATTCATGTGTTGATTTTTTATCGTCGTCCAACAATCAGTAATAAATTTTTGGACCATATCGTATACATCATGCAAAACATGATATGATATATCGATGAACATTTTTCATTTGCCAATCCCTAAAACGCACCTGCAATTCCCCTGGTGTTGGGGTAGTTCATGGGCGGCGCCGACACGTACCAACAGGTGAGCTACATGCTCGTTTGTCCCCTCTTCTATGATAAAACTTACAGAGTATATTTCGGCAAGGTTGATTTAACTGTATCGTAGAGCAATGGAATACATAAAAGTGTAGCAACACTGAGGTTATAGGATAAGCAACATGGCACTGCGTTGCACGATGTAGACGGCAACTTGACGGCTATACAATTGTAGCTAGAAATTTCTATAAAACTAGCCCTTTTTTACAATTGCTTTTAGCCTGTTAATTCGTATCAGTAGGCAGGACGTTTACCAAGAACAAACATTTGAGCAATACATATTTAGCAGGTGTGAATTACAAGTTGATGTTATTTATCAAGTGACAGTATTGACATTATGCGATAGTAGCAGAACGGTAAGGGATACGGACTGCGAATTAAAAAAAGTTGTGAGTTCAAATGTACCACTTGACTACTGTCGTGAACATTCCAAGCATAACAAGTATTTTTAAGTATAGTTGGAGGGTAGTTAAACTAAGAATTAGTAGTTTTAACAGCCCAGTAAAATTATTTTTTTTAAATTATAATCACCTCATTAATTTTCTCTTGAGTGGCTGCATCGGTCGCAGGTGACTCAGTTGCACTTGCATCTGGTTTAAGTACTTGTGCCGCTGCCTCTGTATTAATTCAGAATGAAAATGCTTTTTATTAAGTAACACATTACACACAAAGCTAAGGTAATTTAAAATTTAAAATTTTGTACAGCCGACTTGAATATAAGTTATTAAGAATAACTCAAATAACTCAAAAACTATTGGTCTGACCCACAGAACACAATTACTCTTTATCAAGAGAAGAACGCCAACTTCATACTAAAAACGGAAACACGTGTTTGTGTGTATATGGAAAATGCTACGGTGGACGCCCATATAAAACTTTTTTAGCGGGAATTTCAAACCTTTGTATTCTGTAACTTTAGACTTTTTATTTAAGGCTTATTCGAGTAATTTTGGCTCAAGCCTCACAAACCTATGAGGTAAATTCCCATATATTTGAGAGGTTGTACCAAAATTACTCGAATATACTTTAGAATAGTATGTGGGATAAAATAAAACTATAATGAATTCATTTACTAGTCAATATCTTATACATAATTAATATCTCACAAAAAAACTTTACTGTACATTCACGACGGTATTATGACTGTATATTTGCGTACATACGAAAATGAAGTCCATCTAACTGAATTTAAGCAAAAATGAATAATAAATATTAAAAACTAAACCTATGAAATAAATTTTAATAAATTTCATAAAATATTTTCAATATGAAAGACGTTAACAAACAAATGACATTTTTTCTTTTCCTATTAATTCATGACTTCTTTTGATAAAATTCTGCTAATATTTAAAATTTAATTTAATTTAAATCAATTAATAGGTAAACTAATTGTGCAAATCTCAGAATAATATTTTTTTTTTATAGGATAAGGGTGACAAACGAGCACACAGACCACCTGATGGTAAGTGGTTGCTGTGGCCCATAGACATCTACATCTATCTTCGATTAAGAATCAAAATGGAGATGCGTTGTTACCCGTGAGGACTAAGATGGAATGCCTCGTTTCCAGTAAAAAGGGTCTCCGGTTCTCTACACTCACCATACGAAACACAGCAGCGTTAAACTGCTATTTTACGCTGGTATTCTGTGAGAGCGTGGTCCTTCCCCGGTCGAGCCGACCCATTTGTGCTACAACTATAATATAGCTGCAGCATGGCTCTACCACGTGCAAAAAAAAATATGTATGTAATTATACTTTAAAGAGCAAACCAATAAAAGTTTAACACCGAATTAACATTTTTATTTTCTTCCCATATAATATGAATTTGTTTATCTAATTTTTAAAATGGCAAATCTAAAACAACATTAAAGAAAGAGACAACGATATTTTATCTCGCTTTATTTTAACAAGCCCAACACGCATATTGACAAAATCATGATTGTGTGCAGATTTTTCAGCTTTCATACAAAGTTGCCTCACCCTGGTCTGATCTTGATCAAATTCATACGGGACCACACGAGAAGTATCAGCTTTCATATAAAAAAAGAATATGACTACCGTCTATGAGAATATGAGTACCGTCTCCTTTTTGGAAGTCGGCAGACAATAAAGGAATTTCAATATAGCAAAATGTATAACTTATTTGAAAAATGCCTCTTCTACAGAGAAGCCTTGAAGGAACTCGTAGAGTCATAATTTTTCAGGTTTCCGCTATGATAAAAATGTACAGCATCATAAGTAATAAAAAAGGAATAAGGGTAAATTCTTTTGATATGATATCTTATTTTAAGAAATATAACAAATATTAAATTAAATGAAATATAACAAATAATATTAATTGAATATAACAATTAATATTAAATGAAATATAACAAATAATATTTTAATGCTCACCCATATGATCTATTCTATAGAGAGCTAAGTGGTTTCTGTACGAATCGGTCTTGGGTTTGTGCGGATGTAGAAATATTAAAAACACTATTTTTTTACTTTTTATCTGCCAGTGCTTGACCACAATCCCATCTGGTGGTAAGTGGTGATGTATGTCTTATCGTAACAAAAGCCTATTCACTCTTGCTTTGAAGACGCCCAGATTGTATTCGGACAGAAAGATTGACGCCGACAAATTATCCCACTCCTTTGCTGTACGCATTACAAAAGACGAAGCAAACCGTTTGGTTCTAATGCGTGGAATATCGACCACAAAGGGATGAAGACCCGCCGACCACCTGGTTGTCCGATGGTGGAAAGGAGAAGGAGAAATTAAAGTGTGTAATTCCTGCGCACACTCACCGAAATGCATCCTATAGAATACCGAAGGACTGGCTACTCTGCGCCTGTGCTCGAGGCTGACAAGATTGGTTTCAACCAAATCAAGGTCACCAATGAGCCTCTTAACACGTCTCTCCACTGAGTGCAGTGCTTCCAGGTGGCATTTTGCAGCACCAGCGTGACAGCAGTACTCCATGCACGACCGGACTTGCGCTTTATATAAGGTAAGAAGCTGCCCCGGCGTGAAGTACCGCCGCACCCTTGCTAGGACACCAAGTTTCCTTGCGGCTGCTTTGGCTCTGGACTCAATGAATTCGTACACATTTACCGACCTGTGTCATGGAAGTAGGAGCTGGCTTGACCACTATGTGATCTCCCTATCAGCCCGGCAAACCATTGTGAATATGCGGATTTTGGAAGATGTGTTTGTTACAGATCATCTGCCCATTTATCTGGAATGTAACCTGAATACTGTAAGGCCTAAGCTGTTGATACATGAAATGCGGCGTAGTGCAGTGATTTTGGGCGAAAGAGATGAATCTCAGATAAATAGATACCGCAACCTATGTAATAACAGCTTACGGGATGTCGACTTTCCCCGTGAATTTGTGGATTGCAGCCATGGGTCATGCAGCTTGGAAAACCACAAGTTAGTTTTGGACAGCTTTTATAAACGTATTGTGGATATTCTAAAAGACGCAGCTGTTCAGACCAAGACCCAGGTTAGAGATAAACCACGGAGGAACAAGGTCTTGAGTGGGTGGAACAAGCACGTTAGTGAAGCTCACCGGGAGGCCAGGCTTCGATTCAAGACTGGGTTTTGCATGATCGACCTCCTTCTGGCCTAATATATGAGCAAATGTCCGAATCTCGTAAGATCTTTAAAGGCAAATTCAAATGATGCTTAAATAACCAGGAGCAAATAAAATGGACCAAATAGCAAAACTAAGAGCGGAAAAGAATTTCAGTAAGTTCTGGAAATCCACAGGGAAACTGAATGTTAGGCCTGGATTCCCGGCGAGTGTCGATGGCAAAAGTGACCCGGGAGGTATCGTAAATTTCCTCATGGAACATTTTAAGGTGAGGTCTCCACTTGGTCCATCCGTTACCAGGCCCGAGTCTGGGCCCGGCGTGCGCGGGGAGAGACCGTTGCTGTTGTTTACAACTAGCCAAGTAAAGGATGTAATAAAAGGGATGAGCAGAGGAAAGTCTCTCGGTCACTACGGGCTTAGTATCGAGCACCTGAGATACGCAGGGGTGCATTTACCGAGAGTCCTGTCCCTGTTTTTCAATATGTGCATCAGCCACTCGTACTTACCAGCTGATCTAATGAAAACTACTGTTGTGCCCATAATGAAGAACAGGACAGGAGATGTCTCGGATAAGAGAAACTATCGCCCAATCTCCCTCGCTACAACGATAGCTAAGATATTGGATAGTCTGCTAGACTTTTGCTTACAAAATTACTTACACCTACATGATGCGCAGTTCGGTTTCCGGCCCGGACTATCGACTGAAAGCACAATTTTGAGCCTCAAGCATACTGTGCAATACTACACAGACCGGAGGAATCCTGTTTACGTCTGTTTTCTGGGCCTCTCCAAAGCCTTCGATCTCGTTTCATATGATGTACTTTGGAGGAAGATGGAGGACAGGGGTATTCCAGCAGAAGTGCTCAATATCTTTCGGTATTGGTATGCAAATCAGACCAATCATGTTAAATGGTCAAACAGTATCTCCGAGTCGTACAGATTGCAGTGCGGAGTGAGGCAGGGAGGGTTATCGTCTCCGAAGCTCTTCAACCTGTATGTTAATGATCTTTTGGTGGAGCTCAGCAGCATGCGTGTTGGATGCCGTGTGGGTGGTGTTAGTATCAATAGCATCAGCTATGCGGATGACATGGTGTTGCTGGGTCCCACTGCGAATGCGATAGGAGAAATGTTGAAGGTCTGCGAGACTTACGCTGCCTCGCATGGTCTCGTATACAACATTAAAAAAAGTGAATACATGGTCTTTAGGGTCGCCGGCAAGTGTCCCGAATCTATCCCTGTAATAAACTTAAATGGATCGGAACTTAAGCGGGTTTATCAATTTAAATACCTAGGGCATATTCTTGCCGACGACCTTAAAGATAATCTAGACATACAGAGGGAGCGTAGGGCTTTGGCGGTACGCGGCAATATGCTGGCTGGCAAGATTTGCTCGCTGTTCGGACCAAGTCAAAATAACATTTAAATCGTATTGCCAGGGTCTGTACACGGGCGGTCTGTGGATTAGGTATGCCAAAAAATTGTTAAACACCCTGTGAGTCCAGTACAATAACGTTTTCAGGACGATGTTGGCACTACCCCGCTTCTGTAGTGCCTCTGGCATGTTTGCATAGACCAGAACAGTAGTTGGTAGTTCGGAAAAAAGTAGCGTCGCTGATAGGAAGGATACGGAGAAGTGACAACAGCATCCTGAGAACGGTGGCAGATGATCCGCATGCGCCTATTGTGAGGCATTTCGTGCGAACGATGACCCATACAGTGGATGGTAATTCTTCTAGGTGTCAACCGCACGGAGTGCCTCTTAGGTACATGACAAATTAGAATTTAATTTAGTCTAATTTTATTTAATTTGAATTAATATGATTTATTTTGATGTAATTTAATTCTAATATAATATAATCTAATTTAAATAAATTTTTTCAAAATACTAACACTTAGTTTTTAAGCGATAATGTAATACTAACCCATGGATCTTTGTTGTCTGAAAATAAATGAATTTGAATTTGAAAATATTATTCTTTGTACTCCCATATGCATAAGTAGGAAATAAAAAAAAAAAACTATTGGTAAATCCAATTATGCGTGCCTTAAGCGCATTAAAAAATTACGTATAACATGATTATAAATAATTTTTTAAAGTAATTTAATTATTATATACTGTCGGGAATGAGTGTAAAAAATAAAAGGAAATACGAACAAATGAAGGTAGAATGGTAATCTCCCACTTGTTGTAGCAATATAAAGTATCGTGCAGGCCACTAAGAAGACCAGTCTGTAATTCTAAGAGTCCCACTGTCGTTACTATGCCCGTTGGGGTATTCTATTAGTGTAGGCAAGGAAGGTCGTGTTGCTGAGAATTTGCCCTGTTTTACGTAGAGATGGGTAGTGACGCTGTTGGTTGGGTTTGTTACGGAGTAGTGTTCTTTTATTTAAATACTTTTGGAATAATTGCTAACATCAGAAGTAGAATAGTTTCTTACATCAGAAGTGGGATAGTTTCTTACAATATATTTATAATTATTACTATACTTCCAATTTTCTGATAATTTTATGTCAAACTTCAATTTAAAAAAAACTTGGAAAATCCAAAAGTGCACGACTCATAATACTCATATGATCATGAAAAAATAAAAAAAAAATATATAAATTGTATGTGTCAAAGAATTCCAGTAGCATTCACGGACGTACACCTTCAGGTCACTCTATCAAGTCAAGATGTAAGGTTTCATCATAACTAACAAAGCGAGGCCCAACTCGGCACACCTATTACTACTCTTCGAGGCATTCCAGTAGCATTCACCAAAATACATCTTGAGGTCACTATCAAATCCAGAGATAAAGTCTCATCATAACTAACAAAACGAGGCCAATCTCGGCACGCCTAGTTCTACTCTTTGAGGAGTTCCAGTAGCATTCACCGAAGTACACCTTCAGGTCATTCCGTCAAGTCCGGGGGTAAGGTCTCATCATAACTAACATATCGAGCACAATCTTGGCACAGTTAGTTCAACTCGTCGAGGAGTTCCAGCGGCATATAAATACCGAAGTACACCTTCAGATCACTCCATAAAATCCAACACGTATAAGTATATTTATATTATATATAAATCCTACGTAGTTTTAGCGAAACAAAATATTATAATAAAAATCTGTGATTATAAAAATAATAAACCTAGCAAGCTAACAGCATAGCAAAGTGGCGAAGCAATCAGCTTTGTAGCGGTTTCTAACGGTTGCCGTTGAGCAATCAGTTTCAAAATAGGAGGTTCAGATGCCTGGGTGATCAGTAATCGATTGCTGAAAACAGAATTTGAAAATTCGAAACCGTTCTCTAGATAATCGTGGGACAGACGGACACAGACATCGTGAAATCAATAAGTGACTTCGCAAGCTTCGCCACTTAATAACCTTGGTCAAGTATGCACCAAATTTGATTTTTGGAATTTTTGTATTCTACAGCGATCGATATTATTCAGCACGAGCCGCGGAGCCGCTGTAAGCAAACGATGTAGTAACACGCTCACGAGGAGTGACGCAAAGTGTAATATAATAAAATAAATTATTACATGGCTGCTCAAACACCAGAAAATTTCGGGATTATTCAGCCGAAAAAAAATTATAACTAAACAAAACAAAATTAAACTTCTATTTACATTCCATGGATTCCCACATGATAGATGAAGAGATTAAAAAGTAGACTGAGTTGAACAATTGATATTTCCAAAAGTTATCGTGTTTACCCTCCATGCGGACTTGATAAATTCACACCATAAGCCACTAAAACCACTTTTTATGTATAAATAGCAATTAATCGATTTAAAACAAAATTGTGAGTTCAAGAATTATTTATCTTTCTGATAATGCGCTTTTTATGTTATTTATTTATATGTACAATATGATTGTTAGATACTATTTCATGCGACATAACGTAGGAATTTTGATTTTTAGGCCCTAGCAGAATATTCTACGCGCTTCGCGCTTAACGCATGCAATATTATGAAATTTATACTGACTTTCCATATTATTAAGTTAAGTGGGGCATTGTTAGGTCTTATGAGGTAAATAAAATTCCATAAACTACGTTAGGCAGCTTAGTAAAACAATAATAAACTAATGATAAAACCTAAAATTAACGCAACAAAACATTAAAATCATTTTAATGTTTTGTTGCGTTAATTTGGCAGCGCTGTCGTCGCGCCACCACAAGTAAAACGCACCGAAGCCTAAATCTCGCTATCAAAGTTCCGAAGTACTGCGACATATATATATATATTTATACTAGCTGGCCAGGCAGACGTTGTTCTGCCCTTTCCGACGACCCTTTTGTCCTATAAAAAATCCAAAAAAAATTTTTGAGGGTCACTTATCGGGATAAAAAGTATCCTATCTCTCAAGTAGGTCCAAACTGCACACAGTGTACAAAATTTCATTGAAATCAATTTAATAGTTTAGGAGTTCATCGCGGACAAACAATGTGACTCGTAATTTTTATATATAAAGATGTATAATAGGTCCAAACTACAACCCTGCGCCCCCTTTTCCCTAAAAAGGGTCGCTTCCGATTCGGCAAAAAGGCCTCATAAGCCAATGTCAGTCTCACAGGTGGTGTTTAGTGGGTAGGCACTTAGGTTAGGTTAGTTTAGTCGTAGTGAGTCCCACATAACCAGGACAGCCGGCTGTCGTGGTATGCTTAGAGCCTTCACCACCTCCCTTCCTCGCTTTCCGGAGGGTAGTCCTTTTCAATTGCATCTGGGCGCAAAAAAAATTACAACATGGAGCGAATGAAATTCCCAATGGCCAATTCCCCGGGCCAACACCTTGTCCGGCGGGAGATCTCCTCTGTAAATGTAAATTACTAGGTAGATGTAGGAATTAGGTAATTCGATCGCAAATTCGCAATCAATCAATCATATCCAGTAGTGGATTTTACGGGCTAATGATGATGATGATTATGAAAATGCTTATGATAAAACATAACCATGATAGATAGATAGACTTACCAGCCATTTTTGAGAAGGTTTGAGCAATTTGCTCTTGAGTAATTTGTTCATCTGTAAAGGAATAATTGTTGATATTAAAATAAATGTTTCAAGCTTAGCACGGTCCATTCTTTAATACTAAAATGGTTTCGCGAACGTCGTCGCCTCTCCGAATGCGTTGGAATAAAGCTGATTGTATGATAATACATATTTTTATTAAATAGGTTTATACTTCAGTTTTTGTCCAGTATTCTTTATAAAAGAGGGCGCAAACGAGTACGTATGTCGCCGAAACTTGAAAAGGTTTTATTTATCAGTTTTAAAAACTAATAAGCTATTTATTACAGAAACATGGGGTATCTCTGACTTACCTACACAAATCTTATACAAAAGTAAATTCTTTCAGACCATTGTTTACCTAACAATAGATTATTAACTAGGCACGTGCGAAATATTGAAGAAAAACAGATGCGCATCAAATGCTACATTTTGGTAGAACCATGCTGCAGCTATATTACGTATGGTTATAGCACGAAAGGGTCGGTTCGACCAGGGTAGAACCATACTCTCACAGAATACTAACATGAAATAACAGCTTAATGTTGCTGTGTTTCGTATGGTGAGTGAGAGGAAACCCCTTTTTACTGGAAACGAGGCACTTCATCTTAGTCCTCAGTGGCGACAACGTATATGCACTTTGATTTTTAATCGGGGATAGATTTAGATGTCTATGGGTCACAGCATGCACTTACTATCATATGGACTGTGTGCTTTTTTATCACCCTAATACGATAAAATAGTTTAGAAAAGCCAAAAGCTCATGAGCTTTTCATTTACGGCTCTATGGTACATTTGTTCTCTGTCTATCAAGGGCTAAAAAAATATGAAAGCACCCTTAAATTTTTAATAGAAATAGTAAATTATAAATGTTGAAAATCATTTTAGTAAAAAATTACGCATACTAGGCTATTGATATGAAATAGGGAACCAGTTGATGTAATTCTGAACCTAATAAAAAAACCTGGTCTCGGGTCAATATAAAAAAATACATCAATTTTTTCGGGAATTATCGTGACCACATACAAAATCAACAACCGGACGTCCACGTAAATTTTTTTTAAACCGTGTTTTTTCGAAGTAGCAATATAAAATGATTTAGAAAATATAAGATGGATTAATTGGAGTGTTTTCTTGATATACTGCTACTCATATTATCATATAAGTGCAACATGTTTATGATATAGGTACAGCCACAAAATTGCTTGGCCTTGACGTGTCTAGAGTAAATTTTGCACGTCTATTAACGCTTCACGTTATGAGGCGTGCAGAATAAAATATTCAGGCGGATATATTTAAAATACTATGAATATTTTATGCAATAAAGGTATTTGCACAGTTATACTTTACACATAATATGGCTGTGATTCGAATATAAAAATTGTACTTATTAAATATAAGTTTTCCTTTTACTGCTTTGATTGCTTATGTTGACCACCAAATCTAAATTATACAAATTGTACAGCATATTATTTCTATTGTACCGTTTATCTATTGAAATTGCTTGCGTAGTAAGGAAAAATCAATTAAATACTAAATATTTTCTAAATATTCATTGTTTCAATAGTACAAATCAATTGTACTTATCTGAGTACAGTTATCATAGCTGCTAAAAGTAACGTCAGCTTTTTTTCAGCAGTTATCAAGCATATGGACTGTTATAAACCTACTACTCAGATTTCAAATTGCTATTATATAGACTAAAGCATTTAAAAATGTGCCCAAATTGCTTGAATAATATCTGAAGTAAATGTTTACTCCGGAATTACTTGATAAAATTTTTCAGCTTCTTGCTGTTAGAAATTTTTTACTCAGCCGTGTAGTGGCAGTGTAAGAATATACACTCCCCTATATCGTTTTGTGGGTGTTGTTGGAGAGACAGAGAGAAACAACCCAGGAGATGGGTTACATATATATAACAATTGAAATTACTAATCCTCCGGCTGAATATTTCATATCTACTGTAACACATTAAAGTGATTTGAAAGTTATTTTAATGGTTATTAAAATGATTAAGACTTCGAAATGAAACTGGTGCCAACATTTTCTTCTGCTGCGTCTCCTGTTACTCGTGGCGTTCCACAAGGGTCAATTTAGGTCCTTTACTGTTTATCCTCTACAGTGCCGATATTACGGGCTGTTTTAAATATTGTCAATATCATTTATATGCCGACGACCTTCAAGTCTACATATAATTTAGGACGAGTGATACAAATGAGGCAGTGAATGGGGAAGCAGCTGAATGGGCGAATAATAATGAACTCACCTTAAGTCCAAATAAAACCAAGTTTATGATTTTGGGGTCACAGAAGTTAGTAGAAAGAACAAATGCTCATAAGCTTAAAATTGTTGTTGGTGGCGACCATACTGAACAGGTATCTGAAGTTCGTATATTGGGTATAATTATGGATAGTAGACTAAGGTTTGAAAATCATGTTATCCATACAGCAAAAAATTGTTTTTACAGATGAAAAATATTATACAAAGCGATTAAGACTTCGAAATGAAACTGGTGCCAACATTTTCTTCTGCTGCGTCTCCTGTTACTCGTGGCGTTCCACAAGGGTCAATTTAGGTCCTTTACTGTTTATCCTCTACAGTGCCGATATTACGGGCTGTTTTAAATATTGTCAATATCATTTATATGCCGACGACCTTCAAGTCTACATATAATTTAGGACGAGTGATACAAATGAGGCAGTGAATGGGGAAGCAGCTGAATGGGCGAATAATAATGAACTCACCTTAAGTCCAAATAAAACCAAGTTTATGATTTTGGGGTCAAAGAAGTTAGTAGAAAGAACAAATGCTCATAAGCTTAAAATTGTTGTTGGTGGCGACCATACTGAACAGGTATCTGAAGTTCGTATATTGGGTATAATTATGGATAGTAGACTAAGGTTTGAAAATCATGTTATCCATACAGCAAAAAATTGTTTTTACAGATGAAAAATATTATATAATATTCGGCAATACTTAAGTGAAGTATTAAGAATTCGAGTTTGTGAGTCATTAATACTCTCAAAGCTAAATTATGCTTATACTGTCATGGGAGAGTGCTTGCGTGAACCAAACTTGTTACACAAAGAGTAAAAAATGAATGCGCTAGGTTCTGTTTACGAATCCCTAGTAGAGGTCATGTGACACCGTTTTTAAATCAGGGCTAAATTATTAATATGAAATCTCGTAGATCGGTTCATTAAAGTTGGTTACTTTAAAAAATATTACAAAATTAACAACCAAAATGCTTATAGCCTCTCATAGGCTCAGTTTCACGTTTCTCACAGGAAGCTGTTCGCTTGTTGTATCCAAGACACAGAACGGCCGCGTTTCGTGGTAGCTTTCAGTATGCTGCTACAAAGTGTTGGAATAATATACCACCTCCGATAATACTTTTTAAATTTACAAAGTTAGTAGAATTCTGTGTTGATGTATCACACCTTTCTCATGAAGTATACTGTGTCTGTATATTGGAAAACTAAGAAATACTTGCTTAATTCTACATTTATTTTGCTTTTGTATCTCATCAAATAATTTAATTGTGTGCCTTGTGCCTTGCACATGCCTATTGTTACGCTTTTTGTTGCATTGGCTTTATCATTGTGCCTTTTTTCCTAAATGTTAACAGTTTTATTTTTACTTTTAATTTTTTCTTTCTTTTTTTATAGGATAGGAATGACAAACGAGCACACAGTGGTGATGATAAGTTGATGCTGAGGCCCATAGACATCAACATCTATCTTCGACTATGAATTAAAATGCAGATACGTTATTACCAGTGATGACTAAGATGGAATGCTTCGTTTTCAGAAAAATGGGTGTCCGATTCTCTACACTTACCATATGAAACATAGCAGTGTTAAGCTGCAATTTTACGCTGGTATTCTGTGAGAGTGTGGTCCTTCCCCAGTCGAGTCGTCCCATTCATGCTATAACTATACTACTAAGAGTTCTAGCATGGCTCTACCACCTCGTACCACGTAAAAACCTAAGAGGCAATTTATGGGGGAGACCTCTGTTCAGCAGTGGACTTTCTAAAGGTTGTGTAAGATGGGATGCCATATTGCCAGTAAATAGATTTCCAGTTCTTGTCATACAACATACATAACACTGTCACTTTATGATCCTATTTGACAGAATACCTGTTTGTGTAAGCATGGTCCTTATCAGCTCAAGGCACCACTTTCATCTGGCAGCCATATCCAACTGCAGTGTGACATTACTATCAAAAGAGGATGTAATGGTGATGAAATCAATAGACCAAGAAAATAGTCATTATCATCATCATCTTTACACCCCATCACAAGTCCACTTGAACTGAACATATTTAATATACTGACAAAGTTTTCCACAGTCCTGAGCTCCTTATAACCATCAACTTTTTGCATCATATGTTATTTGGTTTTAGCACAAATGGAACAGCTCGACCATGGAAGGACCACGCTCTCACAGAATACCAGCATATAATAGCAGTTTAATGTTGTTGTGTTTTGTATGGTAAGTAGAAAACCAGAGACATTTTTTACTGGAAATGAGACATACCATCTTTGTCCTCAGGGACTGAAAATATATCTGCAATTTGGTTCTTAATCATAGTAAATGTCCATGGACCACAACATTCATTTACCATAAGTGGACTGTGTGCTTGTTTTTCACCGTAATTTTATAATAAACAAATCTTTTACCAGGTTGTCACATCTTACGTTATAAATTTAAATTGCAAAATAATCTTACCTGGAACACCACTGAAACTGCCTAATATTGCTGCCATATTACTCTCAAATTGAGCTGCTGCTTCTTTTATAAACTCTTCACTCCACATGTTAGGGGGTGCATCTCCATCGGATTTGTCTTCAGTCTGTTCTGGTTTTTGTGTCATGTCTTGAAGTGCACCTTAAATAAGTAATTTTTTTAAGAAACTTCATTTGAACAAGTAAGTTTTTAATTTTTTTTTTTATAAGAAAACTCCATTGATGTTGGACTATACAAAAGTCAGTAGTGACTATCACGAAGGAAAGTTTTATTTGACACTAGCTGGTACCCAGCGTGTTGCAGCCACAGAAGAAATAAATTCAGAAATATTGTTTTAAATTTGGAAGAGTTATATTGTTTAACTAGGAATGATAATTGATAATACATGCATTGAAGTTGAATGATATATAACTTTCAAACAAATTTGTCTGTACGATTTACGTGCCACCTACTATAAGTTAGTTGTACTACGCCTATAACCTTTGCCCATGTGCAAGCAATAAGTTGACAAAGTTTTACTGTAATTTGATGAATATAGCAATAGATGACAGGTAGCGCATAAAATATGAACAAACAAACATTAATTTTTATATATTTGATATTACTTAAAGATTTTTTTTATTATATACAATATTAAAAACTATAATAAATAAACTAAAACTAGTAACTTATTTATCATACAGTCCTACTCTCAGCTGTATTGTGCCAAGAACGTTGGCACAATACCTCACAATATTATTTCAAAAGATTAAGAGTTTAAAGGAAAATATACTCACTAGCAGTAATACATTACATTCATTAAAATTACAATAAAACATCAATCTTCTTCCTTCTATTTATCACCCCATAATAGTCCACATGCATTAACAATTACACTTATCAAGCACATTGACAATCACATATATTGTTAATTAAGAATCAAAATAAAGATATGCACGACTAAGTTGGATTGCTTAATTACCAGTAAAAAGGATCTCTAGTTTTCTACACACACCATACAAAGCACAGCAGAATTATGTGTGTTAACCCTTTGCCTGTCCTCTACATTACATGTAATTCATTGCTATTGTCTTACTATTGTGTCTACAAACTTGACAGTCAAAGTGTTAAGCTAATATTCTGTGAGTGTGTGATCCTTCCCTCCTTGAACTGACCCATTTATGCTGGAACTATTTCATAGCTGCAGTGTGGCATTAAGATATAAAATGTATAAGCAATATATATTATTTAATTTTATAAATCTAGTTTCAGATGATATATGGGTATGATATGTTGCAGCAAAATAGTATTTAATACTTTCCTAATTATTTTGTAAGGTCTACCATCTATATAATATGTATTATCAAACTGGTAGTGGCAGTCACATGTAATCTACTTGTTTCCACATTATGCATCAAAAGGTTTGGACACAACTAAGTATGTTTTCAGTTGCAGCACTGACCTCAAATGACACCTTAGATACTCTTTTGGTACATTGTTAGTGCATAATGTACATCGCCGATGATTTAACATGAACTTTTTATTAAGACAGTAACCACGAATAAATAGATACCGTGGCTGAGGTATTATTGATTGAGTTTCATTCCTTGGCTGAGACCTGTGTCCAGCAGTGGAGTTATAAAGGGCTGTAATGATGATGATGTATTAAACAATGCCTATCTTTAAAACCTATGTAAAATTATGAAATTTGTCTTATAAACTCAGTTTATAAAATATATTAAATTACTTATGATTATTATGTTCGGTAACATGGTAGCAGCGGCTAGCCGACGGAACAGCTTAGCATCCATGTACTTTCATAATTTTACCTTTTAATTTGAATTTATTCAAACAATTATTATTATCATATAGGTTAGAGATTGTGTAATACCATGTCAGATGTTAAGTTAATATTACAGACTTACTGTCCAATAAATCATCGAGCTCGGGGTCAGTATCCTTTTTTGTAACATCTTTATTTTCAGACATTGTATCGTTTTAAAATAAAAAGAAATTTCAAAGAAATTTAATTTTGATTGAAGAACAAGAAACGAAGATTTGACAATGACAAATAAAATAAAAATGACAATTTGACATTAGGATTGAAACGTATCGATATATCAAAATATCGATGCTTCTTATAATATTATATTTATCATCGATATTTTTAGTCAATACATTGCATAGATGAAAAGCAATAGTCTTTTTTCAACCATTAATCTAAGTATCAAATTCATAATTTTTATTACGTTGCATAAGATTATATTAGATCTGTATATTTTTGGTTCGTTTGTGTATGTATTTTAATCTATTTTGGATGTAAAGCCTTCAGCCAAAAAATATTAATTAATACATATTATGCAATAAAAAATAGGATCACAAATTTCTTTAGAATAAGTTGATACGTGATACTGCGATGGTTTCGGAAGATTTGACGGAAGATTAAGCCAGCAGAGACAACCGATGACTATAGTACCGTAGACCTTAGGCTTAGGTGCGTTGTGATACTATAACTATACTATAACTGCTAAGATCCTCAGCAGACGAAATAACTTGAGATTTAATGACGGCTCCGTGGCGTAGTGGCTTAGCAATGAGTTGCAACGCTTGGGGCCGCGGGTTCGAATCCCACACGGAAGAAGTATTTGTGTGGCCTTCAAATAATTGTTCCGGGTCTGGATGTTTGTCCTTGTGCAATATGTTTGTAAACTGCCTCCACGATACAGGAGAAAATCCTAGTGTGGGGGTAACGTTTATAAAAAAAAGGAAGAAGAATTATATCATATTTGAAGCATTGGTATCGTCGATTCTTCAGTATTATCTATACAATAAAATAGAAGCAGCAATCTACCCGTGGTCAAGTTCTTGTCAAAACTCCTGCGTGTATTTATGTAGCGGTGGTAGAATTGGGTAGATTGTTATGTTTATGTAGCAGTGGTAGAATTAGCTTGCTACATATTTATTTATCTATGGGTAGAATGGGTCAGATTGTAGAGTAATGTTACTGGTTTTGGGCGCAAATATTCATTTATCAATTAATCGATTTTTCTAGATAAATATCGATACTGTTTGTTATTATTTTTTATCATTATATTTCATCTTTATATACAAAAATTACGTGTCACGTTGTTTGTCCGCGATGGACTCCTAAACTACTAAACTAATTACAATGAAATTTTGCACACTGTGTGCATTTTGGTCCAACTTGAGAGATAGGATACTTTTTATCCCGCTAAATGACACTCAAATTTTTTTAATGCGAAATCAAATATTTTTATAGGAAGGTTCGTTGGAAAGGGCAGAACAACGTCTGCCTGGCGAGCTAGTTTACTATAAAATTCATATTTGATATGCAGTGCCAGTGATACCATTTTTTTTTCGCCTATCTTTTTCACAGATTACTGTATACCAGTCTACGATCTTTTTACTTCATTTAAGATTTTTGGCTTGAATGCTTGTCCTTTAAACCATATCTTCATTTACACATACATATTAGATACACCACTTCTAATCAAAGACAAATATCGTATTAAAATCAAATTGAGAAATCTTTGTGAAATTGTGCAATCAACTCAACTCATATATAATTTAATGTATCAATAATTATATAAGCCTTTACTTTAGAACGAAAGGGGAAGAAACTGGAGGAATAGCGTATCGGACTCGGATGCATCGCTTTTTTAAGTCAAATCTGGTTCTGCCTCTCTCTACACCCTCTTATTACCTTACTGCAGGGTTCCGGGAGAGGATTTCAGCTTCGGAAAGGAGGTACAAAGTAACCCACCTTTTCTATATAGATGATCTAAAGTTATTCGCATCCAGTCGTTCACATCGTGTAATTGCTAAACATCACTTGTAATTTTAGCAATTCTATTGGAATGGAGCTGGGGTCGGATAAGTGTGCGGTCCTCCATGTTGAAAGGGGAAGTGTTGCTAACTCTGAGAGCATAGACTTACCTATGACCGTCAACATAAGAACCTTTTGCAACGCTGTAACATACCGATACCTGGGTATGTCACAATATATATATGTATTGATAAAGTGGACATGAAACAATTAGTTTGCGATCTGTTTTATACACGCTTGACCAAAGTACTTAACAGCCTTTTGTCGGGCGTGAATAAGACACACGTATAACGTGTGTTTTGTTGGTCAAGCCTGTTCTCATGTATACTTTTGGCATACTCAGGTCGACTCAAACTGAACTTAACGCCTTGGTCCGCACTACCATTACGTCCTATAAGAACAGGATGTACCATCCGAGATCGTCGGTAATGAGGCTGTACTTGCCGCGCAAACATGGTGGGTGCGGCTTTTTAAGAGCCCTCACCATGCATAATTGTAGCCTCCGTAATTACTTCCTAACGAAATAGGAAGATACATTCTACAGGGACGTCATTTCGTGTGATAAAGGGCTAACTCCTTTATCCTTAGCCATCGAGCAATGGCAAGACCCAGCAGTACAGTGCATTTCCGACCGGGAGACCGTATGGAAGGAGAAGGAGTTCCACGGGAGGTTCTACAAGGCTCTTCATGAGCCTTTCGTAAACACAGTTGCCTCCCTCCAGTGGCTACGTTTTGGTGACTTCTTTGGGGAAATCAAGGGTTTTGTCTCGGCAATACAGGATCAGGTTATTAAGACCAACAACTCTCTGAGATACATTCTAAAGGATGGCGCCGTCGACATCTATCGAGCTTGTCGCCATCTCAGTGAGTCACTTAGGCATGTCATCTCCGGTTGTTCGGCGCTTTCTAACTCTGAGTATTTGCACAGACACAACCTAGTAGCCAGGATTCTACACCAGGAGCTCGCTCTGAAATACGGTCTCGTGGATCGGAAACTGCCATATTATAAGTACTTGCCGGAAGCCATGCTTAAAAATAACCGCGCCAGGCTCTACTACGACCAGGCCATCATCAAAAACAGGATTATTCTCGCGAATAAGCCTGGTATTGTGCAGATGGACCGAGTACAGAGAGTAAGGATACCGTCCTCCATGGTGGCACTACACCGAAGGCGTGGAGCAGAAGTGCGGTGGTCTTGTTCTTTAAGAAAGGCGGCAACGCTCTCTTGAAGAACTACAGACCGATTTCCTTTCTGAGCCGCGTCTACGTGCTTTTTTCGAGAGTCATTACGAATCGTCTCGCATGCAGACTCGACGACTTCCACCCTTCCGAACAAGCCGGTTTTCGAAAAGGCTTTAGCACCATAGACCACATACATACACTTCGGCAAATTGTACAGAAGTCCAAGGAGTACAATTTGCCACTATGTATGTGCACTATGAAAAAGCCTTTGATTCCGATGAAATTTAGGCAGTGCTGTAGTTCCTTTAGCGGTGCCAAGTTGACTGTCGGTATATCGAAGTGTTGAAGTGTTTGTACAGTAGGGCTACGATGACTATTCGAGTACAGAACCAGAGTACGAAACCTATCCAACTGCAGAAAGGTGTAAGAGAGGGTGACGTTATAATATCTCCGAAACTCTTCACCGCTGCATGGGAAGACGTTTTCAAGCTACTGGACTAGAAAAAATGCTGTATTAACATCAAAGGCAAGCACATCATTCACCTTCGATTTGCCGACGATATAGTCCTTATGGCAGAATCGCTGAAGGACTTAAGGACTATGCTCAATAACCTCAATAGTGCCTCCTAATGTATAGCTCTTTCTTTGAACATGGACAAAACAAAGATCACGTATAACGTCTAATGTCACACCTATGCCGGTAGTTTTCGAGGGCACTAAGCTGGATGTTGTTGACGAATATGCTTACCGGGGACAAATAGTCTGACTAGTTAAGTCCAACTTAGACCGAGAGGTAAATTGACGGATTAAACTGGGCTGGGCAGCGTTCGGAAAATTACGGCACATCTTCTCGTCAGGTATACCTCAAAACTTGAAAACGAGACTGTACAAGTGTGTTGCCAGTGATGACCTATTGAACTGAGACGTGGTCCTTCACTGCTGGCCGTATGAGGAAACTAAAGTTTGCTCAGCGAACTATGGAGGTGGCTATGCTCGGGGTTTCTCTGTGTGATAAACTTAGAAATGAGGATATCCGCAGTGGAACCAGAGTGACCGACATAGCCCAACGGATTAGTAAGCTGAAGTGGCAATGGCCCAGCCATATAACTCGAAGAACCGACAACCGATGGGGAAAAAAGGTTTACGGGTGGCAGCCTCGTACCGGCGGAGGAAGTGTAAGGCGTCACCTCACTAGATGGAGTGACGACCTGGTAAGACATGCAGGAAGTCAATGGATGCAGGTGGCTCAGGACCATGCTCTGTGGCATTCCTTGGGGGAGGCCTATGTTCAGCAGTAGACTTGTGAAAGGCTGTAATGATAATGATGGTAAGGTCAAAATGTTGTTGGCGAGGGTGAGTTTACTCATTCAGGTAGGCGCTAGTTGAGTGACTCATTGTTAATATATAGACTAAGTTTCAGCCTAATTGGGTTATTAGCTTTTGAGTTATCAACAAGTAAGTAAACAATTCAATCGGGAAATAACTAGCCACTGTGGAGAAAATTGAATATCGTGCCGTCATTGAGTTTCTCACCAAACAAGGTAAGACACCTCAAACTATGTTTCAAGAGATGTCAGCTGTTTATGGGATCTCCACCCCTGGGAAAAACCATAATTTATAAATTGCACGCCGTTTTCAAACAAGGGAGGGACCCCATTGAAAACGACCCCCGACTTGGATGTCCTGTTGAGGCTACCACGCCAGAAATAATCGAAATCGTTGAAAAACTTGCATCGAAAGATGCCTGGCTAAAGAAAAAACAGTTTGCAGCATTAGTATCAGAAACTAACCATTTTAAACATCCTACATCAACACCTTGGCGTGATTAAAGTCTGTGCAAGATGGGTTTCGAGAATGCTTTCTGCGCATCAAAAACACGAGCGTGTCGAAAGTTGTTGCGAGTTTTTGGACCGCTGTGGAGAGCAAAGGGAGGAAGGTATGGCCCGAATTGTAACTGGCG